CACTGAGATAATAGGCAAAAAAATTAGTCTGAAGTTTGCAGTGTAATTGGCTGGAAAATCCCAGTTGCACATTGTACTGTGCAGGCGTCGTTGCCTTATTAGCTGTCGCTAGATAACTGTGATCAAGCATCCACGTTCGTTTGTTCATAGGTTGGCCTGCAGTGTCTGAGAGCAGTGGAAGTGGAACGGTAGTGACAGAACTGCAGTTTCAGCCTGGGCCAGGCAGCAACGTTTTCGAGTAGCTCTGTGTTCCTTGACTGTGCTTCTGACCCATGAGGAGAGGTCAGGGTATCGCCTGTTCTCTGGGAGCCCTGGCACTTGGGATTTTACCCTCCTACCTCATCTGCTTGGGGAAACAGGAGGTTAGAGACACTGCAGCATCTTCAAACTCGGGCTCTTATTCCGAGTGACACTATTTTCACCATGAAACAAGGTGGGATGGAGGGTGGCGGTGCTCCTCTCTGGCTCCATGTTAACCTTTTGCAGTTTGGGTCTTAGGAAGTGCTTGGTACTAATTTTCTGAGCCTGTGGTTTGCAAGCTAAGGGTGAAGTGTTGGTTCAGATTTTAAGGCAGACAGATCAGCTTTGGGCATTGGCAGAGAGTTGAATGGAGAGAATGATAGATGGACTAACATGCTCTTGGAGCTTTTGAACTAGTTACAGACTAAATTTTATCATCATATTTCAGCATTTTTTGTGTAAATCACCATGTTCTCTCACTGATTATTTACCTGAGAACTTGCTTGTTGTTATTTTTTCTACATGGGATGACTGCTGATGCACAAGAGAAGCTTCAAAGTCTTTCCCAAGGGTGTAAGTGCCCTGTTTGTGAATAGTGTTGATGATGCCTTGCAAGGACACAGATTTTGATGGGAAACCTTGGAGTCCCAGAAGTCTTGGTGGAAGAGATCTTGGAAGCCTCGAGCCCGGTCATCTGCTCAAAGTGGGGCTGTAGCCAGTGCTACATGAGATCAGCCGTGGCTTTGGCTGAGCCTTAACCACCTCTTAAGATGGAGTGCAGGAGTAGCTCAGGAGTGCTCTTGCAGCTCCATAGCCTGATGTTAGAATCAGAGAATCATTTAGGTTGGAAAAGACCCTTAAGATCACCAAGTCTAACCGTAAACCTAATACTGCCAAGTCACCACTAAACCACGTCCCTATGTGCCACATCTACACATCTTTTAAATACCTCCAGGGATGGTGACTCAACTACTTCCCTGAAGTTGCCACACTCCAGCTCCCAACTTTACATGTGTGTTGGGCCAGGACCAAGTCCTGCTTTTTGCCCAGACAGAAAGGTAGTGGGTGCAAGGAACATCCATGGGGCACTTGCCCTCCTGTGTGGGTGAACCATGATGGTCATCCCTTTGTTCTTTGTAGTGGGGATTGCGTGCTAATTGTACAGCTCCCCCATGTGACAGCCTCTGTGTGACCATCTCTGCGGGTGCTTAGGCACTGAGGAAGACAGTTTGGGCAACTGCCACCCCAGGCTAGTGTCTAAAGGTACAGCCTGGTACTAGACAGGCAAGAATCTGGAAACAGAAAAAACCTCAGCGCTGTATGTTAGCCTGTAACGATGCAGAAGGTTAAACCTTGCTTCTTGCACAGCTCCGGCTGCGCTGCTCCAAAGTATTTTGCATTTGTGTGTGCTGAAATTTAGTCCCAGGGAGATTAAATTACTCTTTCTTCATCGTTCATATCGATCCCCTGTTGCTGGCTGTGGATGACAAATGGACTTCCCACTCCTTCCAGCTCTAGTTGCTCTGGGATGTATATCGTAGCTTTGTTAATCTTTCCCCTTTTGGGAGGAGGTGTATAAAAGCAGTGGGGGAAAATCCTCGCTACACAGGTTGGGATATGCTGCTGTATCAGGTAAGCAAAGCAGAAGGCTGCTTTGGAGGTCAAAGTCATTTTCCACTTAGATGATTAATGGCTGTTATGAGCGTAGCCTTTTGTGGCAGCTTGAACTGGAGAGGGATGTTCTGAGGTTGAACACCTCTGAAGGAAGAGGACAGTGGACGTGATGCTTTGGTATGGAGAGTTTCCTCTCTTGCAGTAAGTCTTCGTCTCCTCCCCCAAGAGATGCTGGTGTGCTTGCAGGCTGAGAGTGCTTGGCTGTTGGGTTTTGTTGGCTTAGCTTGCCAAGGAGGTGGGTGGCTGTTTCGTCTTACTGTTTGCGAGCCTCCACCCTGGACTGTCCATTGGCAAATATCAGCCTGATTGTGATGCTGCAGATCTTGGAGAGATTGTTCTACAAACCTGGGGAAAATGGATGGCTGGGGAAAAGCTGGTATTAGCTCTCTTCAGTCACAGGTCTGTTGGGTACAGGAGGACAGGCACAACAGCAGGATGTTACAAATGTCCTGGCAATAAGAGACTGGCAATTGTATTTACTGTATACCAGGGAATGCATGCCTCGACCAAGGATTCCTTTCCTGTGTGGGTTGAAAGCAGAAAGCTTTTCTGTGGCTGGAATATTCATAGGTTTGCTCTCTTATGTAGGCCTTGATGTGTGGTAAGGGTTGAGCTCACCCTGCCTGGTTGATTCTTAGTATATTTCAGTAAAATCTTAGTTATCCATGGGACCTGAATCCATCACAGAACCAGGAACTGCTTTTGTGGGTTGTTGTGTGGGTCCCTCAGATAAGGTTATCCAGTAATCCAAATACTACCAATAAGTTGGTGCTTGAGAGCTTGGGGTTAAGTAGATGAAATGGGTATTCGCATTAACGTCTAAACTGTGATACCTCACAGATAGGAGCATTTAGAACCAGAGTAAAAGGGTGGGATGATGGTTGGGACTGGGGCGGGGATACCTTCTTCCCTGGGCTGCCAGAAGGAGTTTAACTCAGGGTGGTTAGAGACAGTGATCCAGTTCCTATGTGCACCACAGAAAGAAGGCCAATTTTAATGCAGGTGCATTTCAATTTTTCTCAGTTTTAACAAAGAAGCTAAAGACTAAAATAGTCCTGGGCTTGTAGTCCATCTCTGTTTTCCCCTTTGGCCAGAGGAAAACTGAGGTATGTTAACCAGGGAGCCCCCACTGCTATTGCAGCATGTTTAAATTGGCGTCACCTGAAGATGAGGGAAAGGCAGCTGCAGGAAAACAGCAGTATATTGAACTGTTCCTTCTTTCTTTGGCCTTTAACCACTACCCATCTCTCTCTTTCCTTTGCTGCCTTCTATGATGCTTGGATATGCAGAGCGGCAAGGGCTTTTGGAGAATATCTTTCACAAAACCATCCCGAAGGTAGAAACGGCTCAGGTAAGAGAATTGACATACCTTATTTATATCTGTGTGTGCATGCACCTATTTATTAATAGGCCTTAGAATAAAAGTGCATTTATTTATCATATAAAGGGTTAGTGTGAGATCTCAGCAGCAGAGAGGCAGGAGGAGTCGCTCTCTAGATCTGTGAAGCCCTTGAGGAAAAAAGGCAATTTGGTGACTCAAGGGTTGGGTGTGCTGTGGGGACAAGTTCAGTTTTAGCGGACAAGTGTCCTGTCATAAATTCACCCCTAGAGCTGATGTCCTTGGAAGAAGCTTCAGCTGGGAAGTGAAAGACTGCGCTGCACAAGGCTTCTGCACTGGTTTGTCACTCCTAGGTCTTGCTTTCACTGGGGAATAAAAAAAGGTGAGTTATAGTGTGTTAACTGAGGTGCTTAGTGTATGTGCAGCAATCTGTCTTTGCTGGCAGAGGTAACCTCTGGATTTATTCCCAGGGTTTGCTTCAACAGGGGTTAAAATGAGATTTGCCTTGTCTAGTGGCAGACACCAGCATGTATGAGCTAACGTGTTAATGTTTTAGACGCAGATATTGTCCCTGTCAGCTTATGATGAGTTCTGCTTGATGGGCAAGAGAGCACAAGAAAAACTCACTTGACTTGTAACAGGGCTGTATCTTCTCTGTGAGGAAAGAAAACATTTTGCAGACAATAAATTCACTACAAAACCTATAGAAAATCCTGTGGAATCCACAGAAAATCCTGTGTGAACAAGTAGCAGACTGTTCTGTAGCATTGAACTGTTTTGCAGGGGATAAAGTTACTAAATAGAACGTAATGTAGAGTGATGTTACCATTGTATGTAAACTGTAAGTGTGTGTGTGTGTGTTTAAACCTGTACAGGCAGGAAACGCCTCTTGCTAAAAGAGCAAGCCCAATTGCACTAGTCTTTGACAGCCAGCTGAACAAGTCCCTGCCTTTTTTCTTGGATCTGTTCTAATGACCTTCAAGTTGTCCTTGGCTGAATTGTGCTAATTTTGTGAATGGAAGGGCTTTAAAACAATGTACTGCAGTTTTCTTTGATTTTATTTCAGGCATGAGAAACTCCAGTGACACATATCTTAACAATATTTGGTCTAGGAAAAACCCATGTGGTAGGAAGGGAAGGGTAGAAAAAGGCTGGGGTTTAATGCAGCTGAGTGAAGTGTCTGTGAGGCGGGGGGAAGGAAGGGGTTGGACAGACAGTGCAGAGACAGACCCGGGCAGGTCTGAGGAGGCTTCCCAGAATGGCAAAAACATCCTTTATCATGGCCATTTTTGCAGCTGCTTTTGTCAGCTGGAGGCTTTGCTGGTCCTTTTCTGCAGTCCCCAACCCCAGTTTCCAACAGGGAGAAGTGTTGTCATCTGCTCACTTTGTAGTGCCCTCATAGTACCTGTGGGGTCACATTCAGGCCAGAAAGAGAATCTCTGATGGAAATGAGGGGAAATGGCAGATCTGTTCAGGTGTCTGAGACCTGGGGAGCCCTGGTCAAAGCCAAGGAGTAGGAGCCTCTCTGATGCGCACTTACAAAGCTGTTGTTTTACTCAGCCTTGTGGGTGCTCCTAGTTGCTTGTTCCTCTCTCTGACTGTAGATAAGGAGAACACGGAAATGGAGCTGATGTGACTCCTGGATAATGTGCCACTGTCAGGCTCCCCAGACCAGTGCTTAAGCCCTCTCTGTGCTTGTAACATATCTGTAAGCTCTTCAGGGAAGCCTTCTCATACCCACTGCCCCCTCGGTGTATCAGGCTTGAGATTGTATTTGAATCCATGCAAATTTAGTTGCTGCAGATAAGAATCAAGCAGCAAGAGGTACACATGGATATACCACAATCCTTACGGGATGCTTAAATATTGACTTGGAAATAAATAAAGTTCCCTAGAAATTACTTTAATGTTTATAGAAGAGGGGAAAAAAAGAATCATAATTTTTTAAGTCATCTTTTGAAATTCTGCAGTGTATAATTTAACACACTCTGTAACATTTCTTTATAAATAACCGTGGTAGGAAGGGTGCTATCCTATAAAAATGTTGAGAGTGGAAAATTCGGCTCCTTTTTGTTCGTCTCAGTAGTCCAATAACAGAGAAGTCAACTCTTTCCTTCCTGCGGAAATTCTGTATATCTCAGTATTGCTTTTGCAAGTTTCTGAACACTTCACCTTTGGCTCAGCAGAGCATTTAAGCTGTATAATTAGCTTTCATCCAATGACTCCAGTGAAACAAATGAAGGGCCTTTTCTATGTAAGTTGAAGATGTAGCACATAGAAGTACCTGAATCTGCTCCAACTCATCAGCTTGGCTGAAGAGAGCAGGGAGAAGCAGTGTTATAGCTGTACAAGCCCACCAGTATCCTGTAGTTAAATTCCTACTTGCATGTGTTGGTGACTTAGGTCCAGAAAGCTCAGCACACTGAAGAATTGAGTCCTCGGTGCATGTATGTCTTCATAGCATTCTGGGCTTTCACCATGCGTGTCTTTACCTGGTGGGATAAGCCTGCTTTCCGCTGTAATAACTGAGGCTGTACACGTGGATGCTCCCTGCACTGCCAGCAGACTGCAGCTGGGATTAAGGCTCTAGCCTAAGTGTGGATGGAAGGAATCCTTGACTTCAGTAGTTTATAGTCCAGAAAAAAAGGGTTTAAGAAAGGTTTAAAGTCATTGATGAATGCAGCAAGGGAAAAGGGTTGTGGTCTTTGAGGAGCAGTAAGGTGGCAGAGCCATCAGTGGGACAGTGGAGGCCTAGATGGGGGAGAAAAGGGCAGGATCCTCTTCTCCGGATCCATGAACTAGAACCCTCCTCTCTCCCTGCAGAAGACAATCTCATGCAGAAAATGAGGTGGGCATGAATCTTTGGGATGCCAGTTCTTTTGCTGCTTCACCTGCTAATTCAACTCTTCGGCAGGAGGGTGGAGCTCTGTAACTCCCCAGGCAGACACAGGAGACCCACCATCTGGGTGGAGATGCCAAGCGTGCAGAGACTGCCCCAGCTTACTCAGTTTCTGCTGCACTTTGTTCTCTGAGGATTGTCCATTTTGGTTTGACTTTTTTTGTCTTTAGAATCTCTTGACTCCAAGGAAAGGAGGTGGTATAACGGCTTTTGCATCCCACCTCTTACTTGACATTCCACAACTGATCAAAGAGCTCATTCTTTGGTGGTAACTTTTACACCTCAAAGTCTATTTCTGGTGGCTCCTCTGGAGAGCTTGTGTGTATGTGTGTGGCAGAATGGCTTTGAAAAATTGGGGAGTGGTAATGAAGAACTACAGAGGGATTGTATATCAGCAGGATGGGCCAGCTGCCATGTCTGAGCATTTTAATGAGGGGTGAGTTATTTGCAAGGCTTTGTTTACCTTTTGTTTTCAATGAAATTGCAGTCTGTCCATGCTCGGCTTCCTTCACTAGGGCAGTGGGTATGGAATTGAACATCAGCAGGAGGTAAAGAGGATTGCAGGGTACTGTAGGGTGTACATGTAGCGAGAAAAAGGTGAGGTGAGGGACGGTATTTGTTTTTGGTTACAACTTCTGATTCTTCCTGATGTGAGGCCTGAGAATTTCATGGCTCAAAAATATAGTGTGACTATCCCTATGCAACTCTTCGATGTCTTATTCTGGAGGAGGTTTTTCCAGGTGACTTGGGAGGTACATTTACCTCTCCTCTATTGCTTGGCTCAGAGTGCTCTGACCGTGTTCTGTGAGGTTACAGCAGGGATGATGGCAATACAGATTTTTCTTCTCTTTGTTTCCCTTTTGGAACAGGGGAGCTGCCTGGTGATGGGGTATGAGTTCTTGGCAAAGGATGAAGGGATTGTCCCCTTGGGATCACTCAGGCTTTTTCCTCCCGATCTTCAAGACATTCTGAGGAATTAGAAAAAAGGGAGGGTTGAACTCTGCTGCAGATGGCAGGACGCGGATCTATTAAGGGATCTGGTGTTGAGGAGGTAATGCATCTCCTGCTCTCTTCCTGCCTCTGTTCTTGCTGGCTTACTCAAGGTCTGGGAAGGTTCCCAAGAAGAGCACTCTCCTATGTTCAGCGTTCATTCTGACTACAAGGCTGTTGCCAGAGTCCTGGCTGACTCTCGTAGCTTTCTGGTACCTTTCAAAGACTTTCCATTCTTGTCTGTGGCATGGTTTTAGTGTAGGAGTGGGTGTCCCTCAGGACAGACCTAGAAGAAAGACAGGGAAAAGGATTGAAATGTTGTGAAAGGGAGGTGCAAAAAGGCTGCAGAGAGCAAAATGTAGAAATAATCACTCAGAGTCTCATCAGTGCTTGTGGGATAAACAGTTTTGGACATTCCCAGAGTCCCCTTCTCCCAGCTTAGATGTCAGAGGCCCCATATTGAGATACTGCTTTAAATTTCTTTATCTCCATGTACTGGAACTATGAGAGGAAAAAGATACCAAGCGCATGGGGCAGTGAAATTAAAAATGACAGCAAGTGGAGCATTTGAGAAACTTCCTCCTCTCTGGGGGAGCAGTGATGCATCCCCATGAGATGGGGTTCAGGCAGAAGGATCCTTTGCTGAGGAAAGCAAGGGGGTTATGCTGGGTTTTTTCCTGATACTTCTTTATCAGGCAGTTTCTATTTTGCTTGGTTGGGTAATTTGGAAGGCAGCTACTGCTGCTGCTGGAGTGCTGGGGCTGTCACTGTAGGATGCAGCGCTGGTCTGCCTGCTGCAGGCTGGCTGCTCTGGGCAAGCTGCATGTGAAAGGCTCTGGAAGCAAGAGAGGGAAAGATCCCAGCAAGTATAAGGTGTGCTTGGTGCTGCAGAGATGATGGGCCTTGGGCCAGAGCTGCCTAGCAGGTCTTGACCCCAGTTTGCTGTGGTTATTGCAGAAACAGCATGGCTACTCTGGTTTGCATCAGTACAAACCAAAGGGGGTAGTTCTCTGAAACTGGAAGAAGCTTCTTTTTAAGCTCAAAAGAACTCATCTTTGCTTCTTTCCTTTTTTTTTGCATGATGTTTCAGCCATCAGTGAAAACACTGAGTGTGTAAGGAGAA